TTCTTGCGTGTCGTGGTACAAAAACTACCAGAACTTTTTAGTTGGAGGATGAAATCAACTAATTTTTTTAGGTTTATGAACTAATCATTTGTTCACAATTTTGTGCTCTTTGTAAAATCTTGTAGCGTTCATAGTTTTTGCTTAAAAAGTATGTCTGTTTTCTAGTCACTTAGCAATGCTAGACATTTACTGCAAATATGCGCCGCGTAAACGCGGACGCTTTCACGCAAATTGCCTTCGCAATACCCAAATACTTTGACCATGTCGGTCACTTCTTCATTAGAAAAAGTCATTCAGAACGAATTTGTGAGATTGATTGACAATGATTTTATGCCTCGTATCACGATATTTGCAGTTAATGTCTAACATTCTTAAGTGGCAAGGAAACAAAAAAGAATATCGCAGTACCCTTTTGATCATGCGCTTACGGGACACCCTGTATATGTTAACTTATACAATATTTGCATATATCTAGGTATACAATTACAATCATTTTTTCTTTCTTTGATTAAGGCACATATAATATACAATGTTTCGACAAACTATCTAACTTTAAAACAGTCTTAGCACTAAAACTTAAAGTAAACATCAGTCGAATTAAACTGGTTTTAAAAACGTTATTTTCGTGAGAAAATTATCTAATTTATCCAAGTAATTGCGGTACCAAGTGGTTCAGGTCGATCTATTAGAAATAAAGTGTCCAACATGCAGCTAACGCAAACTGAATGTGGTAGACAAGCGTATTATATGGCATATATAGGGTGTTGTGGAATTACGTAGCCAAACCTCAGAAGCCGTCTGGAAACTACCCATTTTGAATATACAAAATGTTCAAATTAAACCCAAAAAATGGTTTTTACTGAAAACATTACACTTTCCTGTAAATTTAATTGAAAGATGGCCGTTTTTTAATAGCCTTGACATTAAATGAATATTATTATTAATATATTGCTCCATAATAAGAAGGACTTCCGCAGATTTATACACACGCATTATTTATATAACTCCGCTATACCAGTCCTAAGACTGGGGCCTCATCATGCAAGAGGTGAGGAAGGAGGGACGGGAGGAATATCAACCTCGTTAAAAAACCAGGGTTGATCGCGACCAGATGATAGCACCTTGTAAGTGTTCCTGTCTGGCGCTACAGAAAAACCGAGCGCAAGCCGATATAAGCCAGCAACCTTACTTCAACGCCAGCACTGGTTCTGAGGCCAACGGCAGGGGGATCAGAAAGACCATGGGAAACCCCCTGATTACAAAACCCTAGTAAATACCAAGATGGCAGTCAATACCAAAATTAATTCCGGAGTAATTCCCCCAATCGGATCTCCGGGAGGAAAAGTATTGAAAGCAATGGATGGACCAATAAATACCGAGAAGGACAAATAAGACCGACCAATGTAAAGCTTGATGCGAAATCTGCATTGAAGCTTTTATTTACATGGTGCATTTCGCAGGTACATCGAATGTACGAAGTTTTTGTGAACCTGGAAAAATTCATAATGCAATAAGAGTGATTATGAATGGCGTGGGGTTCATCGTGTCGAAATAAGTCAACAAATGCATTAAGTCATAATGATCCAACTGAGCTCAAAACCGGTTAACATCAGTCTCGTTCAAGTGTATGCGCCTACAACTGAGAGGAGCGAAGAGGTCTCGAGAAGTTCTATGCAAAGGGAAAAAGCGTCACTGACCAACTGAATCAGAAGAAAATCACCATCATAATGGGAGATTTAAACGGCAAGATCGTACAAGGGAGAGGAGCGAACATGAGAAGCGTGATAGAAACAACGAAGGAGACAGTTTTGTTGAAGTTTGCAACAAACATCATGTCCGTGATGAACACCGTCTTTAAACCAGCTCTACGATGACTGAACACTTGGACTTCTCCAGCACATACTCCCAATAACATCATAAGGAATCAAATTGATTATATCACAATTAATAATCGGTACTGCATCGCAGTTAAACCAGTTAAAAACTTCCCAGGCGCTGATGTTTCATCCGACCATAACCTGCTACTACTGGGCGTTCATAAACTGGATCTGAAAAAGGTTAAGCAGCCTAAACAATCCTTCAAATTAGGCATTGATCACCTCAACCAGAAAACAGCAGCAAGTGAGCTGGAAAGAAAATTGGAAGAAGCGGAACATCAAATCAACATTGAAGACCATTGGAATCAAGTCAAAACACTTATACTAAACACAACTTCTGGGATGGAAAAGGATAATGAGAAAACGCAGCAATGGATGACTAATGAAATATTGGGTCTAATGGACGAGAGTCGAAAATGTAAAAACAAGGACGCCGAAAGATACCGGAAGGCAGCCGCAAAAGAGGCGTGGTATGAAGACAGATGTGAGGAAATAGAGGAACTACAAAGAAAACACGACTACTTTAATATGTACAGAAAAGTAATAGAAATAGCTGGGCTGCACAACAAAACAACAAACAACCTCATATATAGGCACGATCAACTCAATCTGAACGATCAAGATAAGCTGAAGAGGTGGAAGGAGTATATACAAGAACTTTTTTACGACGAAAGATCTGAAAACGATCCCTAAGATAACTACAAATGAGATAGAAATAACTATAAATCAGGCGAAAACCAGGAAACCAGCAGGTTCAGATGAGATACCTATAGAGATCAGTAAACTCCCAGAACGAACGGCAAACAATATTTCCTTTTGCTTTTCAACAAAATATACGACATTGGAAAAATGCCAACAGACTGGCTCAGGTCAACCTTTGTAACGACCCCAAAGAAACATGATGGAAAAATGCAGTGAATACCCTACCATCAGCTTAATGAGCCACTCACTACAAAGTATGTAATAAAGTTGAGGGAGAAATGAGCGACACACAATTTGGGATTCGCAATAACCTCGGAACGAGATCACTGTTCAGCCTGCAGGTCCTCGTGCAGAGATGTGGAGACATTAACCACCTAGTGCATATGTGCTTCATAGATTTTGAGAAGGCCGTCGATAAAGTACGAGACCACAAGATGATGGAGATTATCCAGCAAATAGACGCAACAATGCTGTATGCCTTATACTATTTTCCATGGAAAACTTCGATCAACTAAATTGAAAAAGTATAAATTGTTCAAAGACACTTTATTTTCGAAAAATTCTAACGATGTGATATGTCACAGTAATCGTAACAAAATGCTCTATTCGGTAAAGAAATAATCAAGTATGGTTGCCATTTAAAAAAACTCAAATTTGTGTCATATGTCAAAAATTACAGTAATTTGTGGAAAACGTCATATCAAGAAGAAACATGTTTTTTACATAAACTTGTTTGAATGAATTTGATTGAAAATGACTTATGCCATTTTGTTTGAAATTCAATTTCCTACAAGTTTTCTATTGAATGAATTGAATTCTCCTGTCAAATTAATATTAACGGAACTAGAGGTAATTTAAAAATTTACCATAAATACGCTTTCCCAAATGTCTCTTGACAGCTGTCAAATTTTAGGAAAATAAATTTCCTTTCGAGTAGAACATTCAAAACTACAATTATTTGTCCATTTGACCTTCTTCGTAACTGTTTAGTTCCTAAGATCCCAGTACTAGTCATAGAAAAAAACTCACCCTGTATATCAAATTGATTACCGAGCCGTCAGTTTTTATATAGACAGCATAAACAAATGCATCTGTTTAATCTACGATGTCTTTAATCTGAGATGTCTAACTTTTAATTAATTATTATGTGGTTCCAACGACATGGAACAAACTGTTTTTCATTTTTTCAGAGAATCACAACCTGAAGTCTGGCTACGTGTGAACGACCCGTTGATAAACATGTCGTGTGTTATTTTTGTATTGAACGTTTCTCGTAATTGTGTGTCATTTCACAATATTCATTGGTTACCGCTGAAATTCAGCATGTAAAGATTCAGGTTTTGCTTGCCTGTATTTTTTCCTTACCCAACACAATATAGAATCAATTATATGTGTTAATACCTATATGTAAAAATACAAAAACGTTACATGCTGATTTAGGCCATATACATATGTATAATTTGAGAATTGAGCAAATAGAAGTCACATATTGATAAGCTGTAACAAGCACGCACAGCCAATATAATCAGATTTTTTAAGTTGCGTTTTTTTCTGCATTTTCTAAAGACTATGAAGGCGTAATAAATTGCTCGACAAAATAAACGTGAGACAGTCAAATTTGCCCCAACTTTAGAACTGGATAAATTATGATTATTTCAAGCTATTTAGTTTTGCTTGAACCCTTGGTTAGTGCCATTCGTTTTTTCTTCGTCATTGTTTTGGTAAAATTAAGAACCGCAGATAAAATTTCTACAGAGCGGAAAATAAAAAATGTAAAATTTTGGAAAGTTCGGTATGCTCCTAATTGGACAAACAAACTTTTTTTGGATTTCATCACCAAGAGTGAAAAATACGAAAGATGAAGATAAACGAAATTGCTCGAAAATGATTTTTCGGCAATCTCTTTTATTTACAGGGTAGTCTCAAAAAATTAACTCTTTGGTTTCGCAGCGATAACTTGCCTGTTCTTGGTCCGATTTTCACGTTCTAGAGCTCATTTCGAAGCTTAATCTTCATAGACAATTTAACACAAAAATACAAGGGTACACAAAAAATTATCTAAATCAAAATTACTTCCGAAAATACTTTTACATATTTCGTCCATTCATGCAACCCGCAATTTTAAATTATTAATTTCTCAGGTCCACTGTAAAGTTCTAGCTTCAATATAAACCCTAGATTTTGAAAACGGGATAAAGAAATAAAAATTATCACTGCAAAACCAAAAAGTCAATTCTTTAAGATCACTCAGTAGATAAACCGAGATAACCGAAAAATTCAATAACATTTTTGAGATATGTGTATTTTAATGCATGTGGTGTTGAAATACAAAAATTGTTTTTTGTCCAACTGTGAACACGCAGAATTTTGCATTGCTTTATTTGCCACCCTGTAGAAACTTTAGCTGACGCACTTTTTTTCCAACACGACGCAATAACCGAAAAGTAATTGCACTAAGTAACGCTTCAAACAGAAATCAATTCGCTCTAAGCGGTCAAGATTGTTCCCGTTTCAAAGGTAGTCCAGATTTGTCAGTATAACGTTGATTTTGTTGAGTAGTTTTTTGAATAAAGCAGTTTTGCGTAATTTGGTTAGATTCGTGATCAGACTATCAGTGATATAAAAAAATGAAATAAATAAATGAAACAAGATGGTATAAAAAAGGAGTTTGTTTTCACGTTTTCCTGGCTCAGGTCCTTCTCCCGCTTTTTAACTCAAACCTCACATAAGCTTAAGCTTAGCCGGAATAATTTATTAAATAAATGTATGAAAAATTTCTCTAAAATCGATTAAAACCATGTACTTAACTTGTTAATTAACAATTAACATAATCTTAACAAAGTTAATGTTTTACTGCGGCCTAAAAGATATCGTTAAACATATCCTATAACAATATCCGATAAATTTACGATAATCAAAGGAATGATTTATTATCACTGACGAAATTTATGTGTATAAAAAATATTTTTTTCGCATAACACTGCTCCATCTCTAATTTTTCTATCAATTAATATTAGCCGACTTTTGAATTGTAAAAGCATAAAATATTAGCACGCAATATTGATTGACTCGGCATTGGTAACTCATGGCATGGTGTCCCACGGAATGGCTTGGTGCCCCAATCCAACACACCGGCTCAGTAACTCACCCGCGCTGTCACTTCTTGGGATCAAACGTTTCTCATTTAAAGCCTATGACGCATCATTATGCGACATCACTACACATCACGTATCAAACACTCCCCTGTGATTTCCCAACATATTTATCGTATGGAGTAATATATAAATAAGTTTAATTTTATCTAAGTTTACTGCAACATAAACTGCTCCGGTGGATTGGCGCACAAGCCGTTCCGGTACTCTGCGCCAACTCCTGAAAGTTCACTGAGTTACCGATGCCTACTGCACAAGTGGTTTGAAGTATTATGTATGTATGTATGTATGTAATGTATGATATATACATGTCCTGTATATTATCCGTGCCGGATTGAAATTAGTCACTTTTTAAAAAATATCGTTCCGAACTGACTTTTGGATGTTGGATGAAACTATTTATGTTGGAGCAATTCTATTCAATCCTATGATCTACAACCTGAAAAATAATTCGGTTTTCCTTTTTAAATAAACCATATTACGATCATGCTACTGAATATTATACAGTGTTGCAAAATTAAATGGTGAAGTTGAAACTTTAGTCGCTAAAGGTGTATCGGAAAAGGTTTCCAAATATATTCAGAAAAATATGCCAATAAGTCTTTTGTTAAAATATTTCCAAGTGGTAGAACTTAAAAACTAATATTTGTCCCATTTTAGGATCTTTGCAGCATATCCAAATTACAACAGGTTACTAAAGTAACAAAATGCACATTTTCTAGTTAAACCGTTCAGAAATATTTTGGAAAAAAATTATATTATTTTCGTAAGCAAATTTCTTGAATTCACCATCTAATTTTGGTAGACCCTGTATTTACATTGAAGGCACTAGATAGACGACATAGGGTTAATACAGTGTGTATTATAACAATAACCCGTACCAAACCCTTGGTATGTGCTGTAATTAATAAACTGAAATACTACAAAGAATACAAACAACAGGTTTTATAAATTAGTTACAGGTCCAGATAAAATAACCCTCGTAGCGGCTAAAGATGATGACGTAGTCATAGTTGAAAAACTATCAACTGATGTCTTACCGTCTTCGGATGGATCCGAGATGGATACGTCACTTCTACGTAAAAGACTGGACAACCTATAATTAAATTCCTATAAATCAGGGACGGAACCAAAAGAGGCTTGAATATTTTGCCTAAAAAATAGATACCAGGAAATTTGACGCAAGCACTTGAACAGTTAGAATAAGAGTACCTAAGCTAAAGGTGCCATTCAACCACAATTTATAGCATTAAAACGAAATTTTAGTTATTCGACTATTGCTGCTCAATTTTCTTGATAATTTTTAATGTTAAAAATTGTAAAGCAACATTATTGATGAAAGTCAAATACATAAACAATTTACGAATTTTTGACAAGCTTCAGATCAATAAAGATCATATAATAAAGTTATTAAAATAAAATATGTCAAAACTTGGTCAACTAGCCCCAGTCTCCCCTACTCTCCAAGCAAGTAACGCCAATTTTGAATCACCTTGTACAATCATAAATAAGCAAGAAACATTACAGAAAACGAAGATGGTGGTGTTGATTATTAAAAAGATATGCATAGAGTCACGTTAATTTATTAGAAATATTGGGATTGTATAACGGCTGAAAAAACACTTTCAATTGGCTGAAACCACGTTAGTGAAATTGCTAATACCAGTAGCATATACACGGTGTGCCAATGAAAAGTTTCTACCCAGGTTTTGAAATTGTTGCGTTAGAATGCAGAAAACGCTCGAACACGTCAGTTTTGATTTAAAGCGGACTTGTACTGACGATGACTCCAAAAAAGAGTCGAAACGTCGACAAAAGTGAGACTTTAGACGACAAAAGACAAACTTTAAACAAATATGGACATTAAAACAAAACCTTTCATTTGATTTTTGTTTCATAATCAAAAAAGATCACTTACCTCATGAGCTTTTGATCAGCTTCGTCTTTCTTGGCACGTGTATCTTGTAATTCTCGTCTCAATTCTAATGCCTCTCTTTCCAAATCTAAAACTTGACGAGCAGATTTGCTCTTCTCTCCTGAAGTGTTTAAACTCGAAGAATGTAAGGCTTTCACAGTGTCATCAGATCTGAAAAATGTAAGTAATATTTCAGAAATGCATCAGATTTTGTAAAGAAATACATATACATGTATGTATACATACAATGAGCCGGAAATGTTTTCCGTATAATTATTTAATAAGCAAGTGCTCATTTTCATTTTTTTTTATTATGCGTTATTATTATATAGTAATAACGTGTTTGCAGAGTTGTGATGCATAAGAAATGGGCAAAGAAACAGCGAACAACATAAATGAGTGATATTTAAATTTTCCGTCTTGTCTGAAAACAGCCAGTATTTCCTCGCGCCTTTATATGCAGTTCAATCTGGTTTTCACCTCTCTTTGCAATGATAAAAAAAACGGGCTCTCTGACAAATGATTCTTGAACGTCGGAACATTTTTGAGTCGAATTTGCAATAAAAAAACGAGCATATTAACATTTTTCAATTCATTTTCTTTCTAAATCAGCTATAGCATTAGACCGTTAAAATTCGCTGAAAATACCAGAAAAGCAACATCCAAAGCAAAAGGGCAATCATGCTATGTCCTTTAAATTCTGTTTGTACAATCGCTGTGCCTGTCGGCTGCAGGAAAGTATATGGACCGCGATAAGACATGATCCAGCGCTATCGCAGGAGACCGGCGGTCGCAGGACGTGGTCCCAGATGATAATAAAAGGATCCGCAACAGCCGAAGAACGTTGCGATTTTTTAAACAAGGGGATATGTGCACTGCGATTGTGTGGATGTGCATGTATGGCCTGATAGGTTTTCAATATGCTTTAGGTGAGACAATGATTGAGTAGACGATCAAGTCGAATCCGCCAAATCAATTAATTTCTCCAGCCGAAAAATAATACAAGGTATTTCGTTATAGAACCCTAAACTTAACAGGACCCGAGGAATTTGATAGAAATCGTCGTTATTGATAGGTTCAATGGCTATTTTCTCGGTAACTGTTAAGTTTAGGCAGAACACGTGTGATCTAAATCATACTTAGAATTAAAAACTGAAATAAAAGGCACGTGCTTCTATTTGAAATTGAAAGCGTTTTATCACTTCATAAGTTCACTTCACAACATCAATTTGCATTGTTCAGAAGATTGTTTCGACCTCATATATATGCTTAATTTTAAGGAAACGTTTTATGGCGAGAAAAGAATATTGAACGGTTGATGGAAAGTTCTTGGTTGCAAAAAATCAAGACCAAGGCTCTCTTTCGGTTAGCAAGACCACCACTTTTGAAACAGTCTCCCGAGATAAAGTCATGCGATATTGAACCATTTTAAGTATGTAGATCTTAAATATGACAAATTTGAACAGTTTAAGACGCTTTACATACCAACATTACACATTCTACAAGCCGTTTAGCCAACGTAGAATTTGATCGAATTTGAAGCGATTTGAATCCCTCAATTTTGGATAACTGGGTTTTTGGAGTCGCTCTTTTCATATGAAATAACAGCGACATCATGCGACTTCCGATTATACCGGAAGTTGTCTCAAACAGACTTTTTTTAAATGCAACACCCAAATGCCTGTGTGCTTTAGTGTGGGAGATGAGCATTTTTAAGTAAGTGGGTGCAATTGACTGACACCATCAATTTTGTGAGTCACATTTACAAAGCCGACAAAAATTAGGTTCCCGATAGATTTTTCTGAAACTTTCCACGTCTATAGGGTCAAATGTCCACTAAAGATAGCAACAAACTCAACTTCCTGCGCGCTTTCGTTTGTGAAATGCGAATTTTTAAGTAAGCGAGCGCAATTGACTTTCAACATCACATTTACAAAGCTGACAAAAATTAGGTTCGCGATGGATTTTTTTGAAACTTTCCACTTCTTTTGGGGTAAATGTCCACTAAAGATGGTAACATACTCAACATCCTGCGTGCTTTCGTTTGGGAGATGAGTATTTTTAAGTAAGCGAGCATGATTGACTTACAACATCAATTTTGTGAATCGCATTTACAAAGCCGACAAAAATTAAGTTCCCGATGGATTTTTCTGAAACTTTCCACGTCTATAGGGTCAAATGTCCACTAAAAATGGTAACAAACTTAACTTTCTGCGTGCTTTCGTTTGGGAGATGCAAATTTTTAAGTAAGCGAGCGCAATTGACTTACAATATCAATTTTGTGAGTCATCTTTACAAAGCCGACAAAAATCAGGTTATCGATGGATTTTTCTGAGACTTTCCACGTCTATAGGGTCAAATGTCCACTAAAGATGGTAACAAACTCATCTTCCTGCGTGCTTTCGTTTGTGAGATGCGAATTTTTAAGTAAGCGAGCGCAATTGACTTACAACATACATTTTGTGAATCACATTTACAAACCCGAGGAAAATTAGGTTCCCGATGGATTTTTCTGAAACTTTCCACTTGTATAGGGTCAAATGTCCACTAAGGATGGTAACTAACTCAACTTCCTGCGTGCTTTCGTTTGGGAAATGCCAATTTTTAAGTAAGCGAGCATAATTGACTTACAATATCAATTTTGTGAGTCATCTTTACAAAGCCGACAAAAATCAGGTTATCGATGGATTTTCGTGAAACTTTCCACGTCGATAAAGTCAAATGGCCACTAAAGATGGAAAAAACACAAACTGAACTTCCTGGGCGCTTTCGTTTGTGAGATGCGAATTTTTAAGTAAGCGAGCTCAATTGACTTACAACATCAATTTTATGAGTCAGATTTACAAAGCCGACAAAAATCAGGTTTCCGATGGATTTTTCTCAAACTTTCCTCGTCTATAGGGTCAAGTCTCCACTGAAGATGGTAAAAGATGCAACTGCCTGTCTGCCTGCCTGCCTGCTATAGTCTGGGAGATGTGGATTTTTTTAGTAGCTAGCGCAAATTTTTCCAAAAATTCAGGTTCACGACTTGCATACAACTTTCAATAAAATATTTCGATTTTCTTCTCCAAAAATGCATTATTAGCGCTCAAATGCATCTAAAGTTTGCCCAAAGTATAACAATTCTAGATATTTTGCGACATGTAAATGCATCTGCCGTTTGTTTTCTATCAGTGAAATTCTGTAACCCCAATCAAAATATTTAAATATCTACAGCTTACTGTAGATATTTCATTGTTGTTGTACTTTCGTTAGAATGTATAAATTATACTACATGAAAATATGTTCAATTTCTCTGGATGAAGATCTTCTGGGTCTTAAGTAACAATGAAAAATTACGGGTCAACAATTTTCAATTAGAAAATAATTAAACTTATTAAAATAGCGGATTGTCTGAGATTATTTTTATTGTTTCGCATTAATTAAGTTAATGCGAAATGTTAATTACGAAGTCTAACTTTACGGCTCATATAAAAGCAAGACTTTGCAACAGTCTTGCTGCAAGACCAAGACCAAGACTGAACATGCAAGTCTGGGTCTTGGTCCTGCTTTGCTCATCACTATACAAAGGGCTGTTGAAAGCAGAAAGAAGAAGAAGAAGAACATACCACCGATTTGCTTTAAGTGAGAGAACTTAAAATTAGGAATGAAAACTTTGAACAAGTGGAACATAAATCAAACAGAGCGTGACAGATTTCATAATTGGTTCCAGATATATTTGTTCCTCTTCCAGATTTCTTAAATTGAGGCGTAGTTGGTACGAATATTTGTTCTAATATTGATTAACTGTTACCTTGAAATTGTAGTACCTAAGTATAAGTTACCATAGAAATATTTGTTTTTTATGCACATTCTATTAAACAGTGAAACCTGAAGTAGTAGGTAATTAAAAACCGCTGAACAATTTACAATACTCACTTTAATAATTATTTTTCCTATATTCCAAGCGAGAGTCCTGAAATAAGAGTTGATATGTAAACAGTAAGATGACTGAATCCTTGGGAAAAATCATGAAAATTTTTATTAATTGAGTTTCTCCTCATGTTTAGGTATCTAATGTGGGCGGCGATTAAAATTTTATAAACCCCATAAAAACATAAAAATATCTACACCTTTAATCACGTTTGTTGTACTTAGAACATGTAAATTATACCACACGAAAATATTTATATTAGAGTTGGGTAAATCTTCTGGAACTTATTAGAGAATGAAAATGTACGCGTCAATAATATTGAATTACAATACAATAAATAAAATTTTTGTATTTTCAAAAACTTCATATTTTGAATTAACCGTTAATATGCAGCAATCATATAGGAAACAATCTCAAATTATTTTATTGTTCCGAATTGATTATTATTTTCTTTTACTTTTATTATTGTTATTCTATTACCAAATGAATGTTATTTGATTTTACGCCATACTTAACAAGAAGACTGCAAGTCTCTTGTTAAGTATGAGGCTCTCGCTGCAGGACAGTTGATTTAGATTGAAGACAAATTTATTCACGCTAATAGCGTTAACATTAAAAATAGTATTCCAGGGCTAATGCCTCCAAAAAATGAACTAAAAATATATCCTACTCTCGAAGTCCACCTCAATAAACCTGCATATAAAATGCAATCATTTCAATTTTTCAGTACCTATAAATAGACTTAACGTTTTACTAACTCATTATTTATAAAATACAAACCTCGTGTTGCTGCTAACTGTTAAACTCCTCAGTTGTTCTTCAAGCTTTGAAATTCGGTCGCTGTCCCTATTTTTCTCTGTGACTAGGTTTAGTTGATTCTGCAAAAAATTATATAAAATCAAATTTATTAACACACACTGAAGTTCTTGAGCAGAAAGTGAACTTTTGAAATGAGTTTGGAATTTCCATTTAACTAAATGAACCATAAAACTCGAGTTTCCTGAATTCTTCATGCAGCTTACAAATTTGAATGTCCGTTAAGTTGGTGAAAAGTTTGAAACAATATAAGTTAGATAAAACAATGGATTTACGAAGGCTTCTAATGAAGACATTAATACCAAAATGGTGGACCCGGCATATGATAAATCTTAGACAAGTACCCCCAAATACTGAAATAATACACCCAATAAAGGGAGCGGGATCGGACACAGCGGGATGCCTCATCGTGCGGCCAATCTTCGTGTTTGCCTCCGGGAGCCCCGTTGTGCGACTGCAAGGCTCGGGTTACACCGCAATCCGATACCCGGGGCGAACCCATGGCGACCTTAATGGCTTTTTACTTAACGTGAGAGGTCTAATTTTAACTGCCTATAGCGACCGAAATCTACCCGTTATTGGGTGGGATCGAAAAACCTAATTATCGGCCTATAATGCTTAAGGACAGAAAACGTTTTGTTTATTTTTCTAACTTATTAGCTGGGTTGGAAAAACCTGCGAGAAAATAACCTGAAGTGAACGATTTATCGGCTATACAATACAGGCACTCATTTTCAAACATTGCCATATGCTGTAGTTCCAAACGGCCATTCTTTAAGTAAGCTGATTTATTACAGGGTGAGATAAATTAAATATATTAACAGTTGAAAATCGAATTGCAACATTGTTAATAAGTGTTATTTTGAAATGATACCATGTTTTATTGGTAGCCCATCGGAATACTGAGCATTCGAAAAGAAAAATGACGATCTACACTTCAAATTATGATTTTTTTTTACTTTAAAAAAGTACTCTGCAATTTTTTGATGAAAGTTCAAAGCAGCAACGATGTTTTTGTTATTATCAGCATTATAAGCATTTTGTCAATAATATCAAGCATTTGTCAAATTGTGACTTAGTGTACCTACTCGCAGCACTGCACAACAACTGACACTTTCCTAGACAACTATCCACCGGATAATTAGCGAGAAAGGGCTGCATCCTTACCACGTATGTAAGATACACAGGACACAAGAACAATTGTGTCTTGGTCTTGATCTTGCAAAAAATGCAAGACCAAGATCAAGACTGCCTTTCATTTGCAAGACAAGACCAAGACTATGTATGCAAGAACAAGATCAAAACCAAGACCATGCCTGCCAGACCATGACTTTTACAAAACTCTTGCCAGACCCTCTCGCAAAACCGTGCGGCTGAAATTAATATTCGGTTTTAAGCAAGAGCTGCCTGCCCCGGTAGAAAACGATAAAACTAAACGAAATGCGGCCAATACGATAATCCGATACTAAACCGCATCAAATCTGAGCTCGTAGCCCTTAAATATGATGAATATGAAAAATGGACCGTTTTAAAAGTTTAACCGAAACCCCTAAATTAGAAATCAAAGCTCTGAACAAGTGTCACATAAATAAAACAATAAGTACTTAAAATGTGATTGATTGATGTTTTTCCTTTTCTTTCAGATTACGTAAATCGGGGGTAGGTGATATAAATATTTGCAAAATAAAGTTAGTTAGTTGTCGATATTTCCTACGTAAAACTGCTCATTGATCGACATAATTAGCGTTTGTGGCCTTTTGTTTGCCCAAGTACAAGCTGAGTTTGTCTCATAGAGTAGCGCTTTTGACAGTAGCTGAATATACAGGGTGATTCAAAATTGGCATCATTCTGTTTAAGGGTATACAGGGTGGCCATTTTCTGAATCTTTGTATGGGTAACTTCTACATTTTGAAAGATAGAGAATCCGTTAAATGGGCAAAATTGAGCAGAATTCGATTGCCTATTCATTACCGTTCTCAAAATTAGGTACCCGACTTGGCTCCGGAAATATCCTGAAAACGCAAGAAATCAACACTTTTTTAATTATCATATAATTACTAAACTGTAAATTAGAAAAAAAAAATAAAATTGGCTTTCGTACAACTTTGTGCGTGGAACTCAGTAAACTAGCACTAGTTGTCATAGTCAACTTGATTTACGAGATAAAAAATAAACTTATGGTTTTTTAAATGGTAATCATAGTTGGCTGTGGGCCTTTTAAAATCCTTATTTTTTCTGAATTTAACGATATGTTTTTCTCCTTTTGTTGCCGTGAAACTACCAGAGAAGATAAAAAGTGTGTAGTAGGCTATGGACACAAGAACTATATTATCACACAAAGCACAAAACAAAAATTAAATAATTAACAGACACAATCATGTTTACTGAGCTAATGAAAATCATCATCTAGTTGAAAATAGGCGAGATCAACGTGATTTTTTTGTGAATGTCTGATGAGGCATTTTTAGTGATATAATTATTGGTCCATTCTTTTATAATCACAATTTAAATAAGGAAAGATACATTTATATACACTTTTACATCGTATCGAAAATTGGCATATTTTCAACATGATAGTGCACCTTCACACAACCCACGAGTTGAATGTGAAGATGCCAAAAAATGCCTGGACGTAAACAGAAGTCAATTTGAACATTTAATTTAAACGATTCATTATTGTTGTGTACTTTGTGGGATAATATAGTTCTTGTTTCCATAGCCTACTACACATTTTAATCTTCTTTCGAAGTTTTACGGCAACAAAATGAGAAAAACATACAAACAATTATATCGTTAAATTCATAAAAAAAGAACGATTTTAAAAGGCCCACAGCCAACTATGATTACCATTTAAAAAACCATAAGTTTATTTTTTATCCCGTAAATCAAGTTGACTATGATAACGAGTGGTAGTTTATTGGATTCATTGCAAAAAGTTGTACTAAGGGCAGTTTTAACTTTTTTCGATTAAGCAGTTTACGTAATAAGTGAAAATTAAAAGTGTTGATTTTTTGTCTTTTCACAATATTTCAGGAACCAAGTCGGGTACTTAAATTTTGAAAACGGTAATGAAGAGGCAATCGAATTCTGCCCAATTTTACCCATTTAACAAATCATCTATCTTTAAAAATGTAGAAGTTACACATACAAAGATTACGATATTACCCCTGTATAGGGGCCCACTTAGAGAGTACGAGAAAATTATTGAACACTTTTTTTACAAAATTTCAAGAAGATATTGACAGTTGAAGATCGAATTTCAACTTTGTTATTAAGCATTATTATGAAAAGGTCCCACTTTTGATTGGTAGCCTATTGGAATACTTAAGCATTCGAAAAGAAAAATTGCTCGGCTTCCAGACCTAGAGGAACAGGTATTGGAGATTATTGAAGCTGAGCCTTCCAAGAGTACTTGAAGCATTGCACGACAACTGCACTTTCTCAAACACCGGATACTTAACTGTCCTGAAAACTCCCCCGCGGAAGGGCCTACATTCCTACCATGTATGTAATATGCACAGGACACTAGAACACATTAAATATCTGATCTTTCGAACACCGGTTCAAATTGAGCAGCAATTAATTAACAGAACACGAGAAACTGCTCAAAATATGAGCCCAGACTCAAAGTGATTGGGACACAAAGATGTTTGGAGTGAAACGGGCAGGACTTTTTGCTCTTGGGAATACTTCTGTTCTTCTGTGTTTTTAATAGCATTGAATTTGTTTTACTATATTTTCTGTACTCCCAAGACGCCCTCAGACAACACCGCCAGAGGAATGACCCTGTATATTCATACTTTCCAGTATTTAACTATAATTTCCTTAATATCAATGTATCTTTCTTTATTATCTATTTATCATTTACTAGCGTTTAATTGGTTACATTTGGAAATGTTTTTCGGGTTTTGAAGTGCCATCGGGCTCAACATTTGGGCTTGTCTTACGGCTCATTGTGGCGAATTTTGCAATTGGATTTGAAGCTCCATCCGTACAAAGTCCAACTGACTCAAGAACTTAAGCCTCAAGACCATGGGCAACGCAGAACATACGCAAATTGGGTGATTGAACAACCAACCGTTGATGATGATTTTTCGAACCGAATTTTCTTCAGCTATGAGGCTCATTTTTCGCTCGGTGGTTACGTGAATAAACAGAACAGCCGTGTATGGGGCTCTCAAAATCCTCAGGTGATCGAAGAAAGGCCTTTGCATCCTGAAAAAGCGACCGTATGGTGTGCATTATGGTCCGGTGGTGTTATTGGCACGTATTTTTTTGAAAACGATCAAGGAAGAGCCATAACAGTCAAGTCTGAGAGCTATGGACGCATGTTGACCGATTATTTTTGGAGAGAAATTGAAGATTATGATCTGGAAGACATGTGGTTCCAGCAGGGTGGGGTAACGAGTAACACAACCCTGGCAGTTAGAGCCCGATTGCAAGAGAAATTTCCAGGACGCGTAATTTCGAGATTGAGTGATGTTAATTGGCCCGCAAGATCCTGCGACTTAACACCGCTAGATTTCTTTTTGTGGGGCTATGCGAAAGATGGTGTTTCCGCCAACAATCCTCAAACTCTTGAGCATTTGAAAGCCAATATCCGTGAAGTTATGACCGAGATATTACCGGTAATGTGCCGAAAAGTCATTCAAAATTACCTCAAAGGGATTCAGGCCTGTAGGAGGACCCGTGGAGGACATTTAAATGATATTGTTTTTCACGTACAATGGCAAGGTTTAATCTTTATATTGAATTAAAATTATCGTCTCCATGTGAATGTTTCGTGTGTGTTTTTTTTTTACTTTACTTTCCCAAGCATAAAAAGGATAACCCTGTATGACAGATAACTATATTTTCTTGGTGTTTAATAAGGAAAATAAACTAATACAAATTGTAGCACATCCATAAGGTTGTGATTATTATACCGTTAAGTTTTTATATACGGTATTCTCCTTGGGTGGCACGGATCTCACTTTGTGATAAAATAATAAAAGGTAAATAAAATTCTCTACTAAAAGTGCGAAGAGAAATAGCCGTCTAATGTGGGTGAATGCGGCATTTCCGGACTAAGGGTAGGTATTCTTATACAATGACCATATAATTTGGGACATGGTGCTAAAAATAGCAAGCTCGTGCGGTGAACCGCAAAATTAACATCACAAATGCAGTTAAAAAATCTTAACGTATTCTTATACAGGATGATTCATTGACAAGTGTACATACTTTACCTGCAGATGTAGGTCACTTAGCCGAACATAGAGGTATTACCCATCATTAGTAGGTCAAAGGGGAAACCGGGAGGCCGTTGGACAACACGGATTTTTCAAAAATTTGCCAAGGAAAAACCAAAAATTCCTGCATGCGGCCATCAAATCACTTGAAAGAGAAAATCGGCTGCTTTAAATGAGGAAAAACTCACTTGGTTAGAAAATTTCTGGAAGTTTTCAGGATGTTTTCAGTTACTAAGGGGAAGCGATTGGCCATTGGCATATTTAGGCAGATTTTAGAAAAAATGGTCAAGAAAAATCAAAAATTTCTCAAATCTGTCCAGAATATCACTCGAAAGAGAAAATATTCGGCTTTTAATGAGGAAAAGCTCACTTTAACAGGAAATTTCTAGAAGCTTTCAGGATTTTTTCAGTTACTACATCGAAGCGATCAGTCGTAGGATTTTTCAGGTACATGGATTTTTCAAAAATTCAGCAAGGAAAAACAAAAAATTCCTGAATGCGGCTCATAACATCACTTGAAAGAGAAAATCGGCTGCTTTAAATGACAAAAAACTCACTTGATTAGAAAATTTCTGAGAGTTTCCGGGATGTTTTCAGTTACTGAGGGGAAGCGATTGCGCGTTGGTATAAACGGATTAAAAAAAAATTGTCAAGAAAAAACCAAACATTTCTCAAGCCTACCTAGAATATCACTCGAAAGAGATCTTCGGCTTTTAATGAGGAAAACCTTACTCAACAGGAAATTTCTGAGATTTTTTACGATTTTTTCAGACATTAAATCGAATCGATTGGTCGTTGGAAACACAATTTTTTCAAAAATTTGACAACAAAAAGCCAAGAATACCACAATCCGGCTCATAATATCAAATATAAAAATGCACATTAAAAGAAAATTTCTGGGAGTTTCTAGGCATTTTTCGGATACTAAATCGAAGCGATTGGTGGTTGGACAACACCGATTTTTTTTAAATTCGCCAAGGTAAAACCAAAAATCCTTCAATCAGGCCCATAATATAGCTCGCAACGCAACTTCAGCAAAAATTAAAAAGGAATTACACCAATTTTGAATCACCCTAGATAGACATAATCAAACAAAAAATTGTAATTGAAGCATTTGTAGATAAATATTACATTTCATTACAACTTACTACAGATTCATTTCAAAATATTACTACTTGAAATCTTACTTACTAAGTTGACATGAAACCCAGTAAACTGAAAGCATCTTATGAATTGTCGCAATGAATGATCATTTTGTGTATTGAGCTTTCTGCTATCCACAAAGAATTACTTTAAAAAAATGGACTAGGGCAATATTGATCGAAATTAATCGTGAATACTTAAAGTGAAATGCTTTCCATAATTTCACTAATAGAATATTCAACAATTCTTAATATTTCGCTAAGATGGAAGTTTTCCTTATTTGATTGAGTCGTGCGATTCTGTTGATTCATAATAGCTGAATACAATGAATATTTAAGATTTTACATCAATTAGAAACATATTCTTTTATTCTCTCTCTTATCTATACAGACATTCTAATATTCAACTACACTTTTGATGAAAATGTATAAAGGATAAAAATGTTGGGCAAACAATTTAACTCTGAAAAAATCCGGCCACACAGTTCATAATCTAAAAATGTTTAAGCAAACCGGAAAAGCCGTAAAAAAGTGGTAAAACTGAATGAACTAAATCCACACGCCAATATTACTCTACAAATATAAACAGTGTACTTTATTTTATGTACAAAGCATACATGAAAGGGAGGTGAATTAAGTATGAAGAACCACATGCTAGAGCCATCTGCACAAGAAACGTAGAACTGACGCTCTTATCGATTTAGTAAAAGCAAGAACGCTATCTAAGGAAATATATTTAAAGTGGGTTATTAAAAAAAGTAAATTGTTTCTCAAAGAAGTTCTCTCTAAATTATATCAAGTTTTACTTTAATTTACTTTTAACTCAGTTCCGTTGCTGGAAAAATGTTAATGACTTTTTTTACTTGTTTTTAGATTTATTTTACGGGCCATATCAATAATATTTTTAACATTTCTTCAAAATTTCAGAATTTTCCAGTTTTGGCACTCTTTTTCTAAATGCTCAATTTTCAAACAATTCTCTTAAAAATTACTGACAAACTTAAGAACACTTAGAACACTCGCCACTCTCGTTGCTTTATAAAAAGCTTCGAAGCTTTTCCAACTTCGAATTTGAGAGAAATATCAAATAATTTTCTATCAAAAAGAACTGAATAAGCGAAAGTTTATAATAAATTTTTTGAAAAATTCATCACCTCCATTCCTCTGAAGACTGTAGGCTTGTTAAAAAATGTGGTTTTTTGGTTTTGACTGATTTTTGTTTGCTTTACTTTCTACTCAAGATCGCTCTATTTTGTAGAGTTTCACTTAAAAATACTCATGATCTAGAGCTCTTTTACTCGAAAAATTACAAGATAAATCTATAGCTTTGTAGGACTTTTACAAAAACTTATTTCAGTGTCGAATTCAGGACAAAAACAAAAATAAATTTCTCCCGTTTTTTTCCGAAAATAATTAAGATTTTCTCAAAAACCGATCACAAAATTAAAAGTTTTTAAGCGAAAATACAAAAAAGCATTTTTTTCTGATGATTTTCTTCTTTTGTGATAATAATGGGGTGATTTCAGTCAAAAATTACAAAATTACTTTTGCTCGAAAATTCGCCTCATTCATCGGTTTGCAGAGATCTTTAGAAAACCCTTTTCAGCTTCGAATTTGGCACAAACACCAAATAAGTTTATTCAGTTTTTTACCGCAAGTAATTAAAATGATCTGGAAAAAGTGGTCAGAGCAAAAAACAAATATTTGGAACATTTGACACCCTCATCGATCTAAAGATTTTTGAAGTTTTATGAAGAATTTCAGGTCATACCTGTTTTAGCAAAGTTTCTATTAAGCAATTCTTGCTACGCAAAAAACGTATTATTTTTAGTTTTACTTAAAATACTTAAAGTAACTTAAGTAAGTACTTAAAGTACTAAGGGCAAACTGAGACTGTTTTATGCAAAAAAGTTAAAAGATGTATTTTCAAGAAAAGTCGTCGTTTTTACAGTTTGGTCTTCTTTATCGTTTTTTTCGAATACCCGTTTTACCTTTCAGTTTGCGACAAAATCGAAACAAAGTTATCGTGTTTTTTTTCGACAAGTTAGGTTTTCTCAAAAAACGACTAGAGAAAGCAAAAGCATATAATCAATATTTGGGAAACGCGTCACCCTCATCGCTCTGAAATTGTTTTAAGTTTTTAAAAAAAAAACTGCTTTTTTTGTTAGATGTTAAAATTCCGTCATCGGCCATAAGTTATAACCCATTAACCAATGAGTCAAAACTCATTAACTCAGAGAGCGGCAACAACTCAACACAGTGTTACTCGGACCTAGATTATTTCGTGCGAACAAAATATTGGTCATAGTCTAACCCTTAGGTAAAGGTGTCCTAAGGTACATCTGGGGCATTTTATGGCACCCTTCCAGGTTACCCTATCTAAAAACTGTCTATGGCGTCAGAAGTAGCTTATGCGAATGCCTACCCGTTTATTCGTCAGATAGAATCTCGATCGAATTAGTAATCCCATGGGTAAACCATACCAATACCTACTTATAATTTTTTAATAGACTAATAGATTTGTATGAAATGTAAAAGTTAATTGCATGAAGTTCTAATTAGAAATTAATTAAAACAAAAGTTCTTACCACGCTAAGATGTTTTTCCTCCATGATATGCTTCACCCTAGCTAGTAGAGCATCTTCTCTAACCCTGGCAGCTTCCCGCACTTCTCTTATAACATCAGCTAGCATTCCAGGTTCATATTCCCTCTCGTAATGCCTTGTAGCTTGTTGTTGTTTCAATAGATTTAATTCAATTCTAAGCTCCATTACTTCTCTAGATAATCTGTTATTACTCTCCTTCAAAGAATGTATGTGATGTGTCAGTTTTCGCACAGTCTCTTCGCAACAGTTGGAACCGGAATCACTATCATTAGGTAGGCCTGGATCTGAGAACCTGCGTTTTGATTCCTCATTCGTATCAACACTCACAACTGGCAAACTCATATAATCTTGTCTATCAGGTTCAATGTTAAATGTATGATTCGATAAAGTAGACTGCCTTGAAATATTGCCAGCACTTCCCACAACACTACCCAAACAAGTATAGCCCGAATAATTCATTGGATAAACAGGAAGAGACATAGGTTCAGAAGGGTTGGGATAATTCACAAAGGGGTAATATGTATGAGGCATTTCGGGAATAGTAAAATTACTATAAGAGAATTGGTTGGAAGGAAAATAATTGCAACTGGGCACATTAAGATCAAAATTTTGCACTCCTTCCGCTGGGTGTACTTTCTTATCGCGATTTTTCTTACGTTTGGTAACACTTGGAGGGTTGCCATTCACTTCAGGGGACATTGTCAGTCTCATAAAATCTCAAACAAATTCCAGAAACCTGCTTTTCACCGTAATACCCAACACTATTTACTGTTTCACCTTAATAAAAATATTTACATACCAAAAAGTGAAAACATAACAAATGATTGAGAAAGTTTAAAGGAATTTACAGTTGAGGTATAATGACTATTGACAGTTACAGTGACACAAAACAGCTGTTTTCCGCCTATAATGAAGAAGTATGCGGATGTGCATCTGTATCTAATTGCACGAGAGCAACGCAGACAGCTAAACATATTGTTAGGATCGAGACTAAAACTATTGAACGCACGTAAACAAGTTGGCAACGTTGGTAAGTGAGCGTGTTTCTCGTTTTTCTAACATCTGTTACTGAAACGCAATGGCATAATTCATATACCGAAAAGGTGCTAATGTACTTTATGTCTGTCGAATGTTGGCGCTCTTTTTAATTTTCCCTTAAAGTACACTTAAAATTAAAATAAAGCACATTCAGCGAAAAAAAAATGCGGATAGTCTATAAATTTGCAGGAAAAACACTTTTGAAAATCATGTCCAAACAACCCCGCATTGATGACTGAAAATGCGATTGCCCAGTGCTGTATTCTGTTAAATCTTGTTCTAAGAACTAACCATCCAGCCATAAAATGGAGCTTTCAGATTTCTCGTACGAATTTTCGACTTATTTGGAAAAAACTGAAATTTTTTAATTCCAATATTAATTTTTGATGGCGTTAATATCAAAGCTGGAGCAAAACCCACTACTCTTTCTCTTCTCAACTTTAAGTCAATACCACCTTATCAGTTTGTTGCATCGACAACGTTTCGTTATCAAGAAACCGTCATCAACTCAATTTTTAAATATGCTTCTTTATCTTTGCTGGCAAATTCTGAAAGCCGTTTTCTGAAAACAGTTTTTTTACAAATCTGTATTTTCAACGCTGATACTCAGAGAAAAAGAATATTCTCCCTTGTCTCCGCTGGTACTCACAGTGTAGAATATATGTATTGACATTCGCAAGTTGATGATGGTTTCCTGGAGACAAAACGTCGGAGCATAAAACTGATATTTATTTGTCTGGCTGGCTAAAGTTGTTGTGCGAGCGTGCAGTCGGTTTTGTTCCAGATTTCTTATTAACGCGAAAAAATTATATAATCGAAATTCCGGTGTTTTTATAATAAATCAGAAACCGATATTTTAAACACTTTTAAACCACCAAGTTGTTAGCCAAAACTACTCGTTACTAGTATTCAAAAACAAACTGCGCGAATCTCACACCAGCACTAGTTCACGTGTATCCTAGATACAAAAAAAAAATATAGATACATACAAAGTTATAGAGCATGAGACAACATTTCAAAATTATTTTGTAATGTATAGTGTGTCGCAATTATTAGATTGAACTAACGTTACGATAGACGTTACATTTTTTGTATCGGATCACCCGCGTTTTGTTATGGTAGGTAATGTTTCCGATAAAAATTAATTTGCATTCTAGAAAGGTTTATCTTCCTTAAAACTACACGGTTTCTCAATAAAAATTAGAATCATTTTTTTAAGCTGAAACTGGCAATATCCATTTCAAATTTCCAAACCAAACTGTACCTTTACAGACGCAGATTTGTGAAAGATAATAGTTCAACAAAAACACATACAGAATGTTCCAAAATTGTGTTGAAACAACTTGACCTATTGAGCTTGCTTGCTATAGTACCTTGCTTTTGATTTAAATGAACTTATCTATTGAATACAAGTAAGCATTTTCCTAAAGTTCTCATGGAAATCGCATTTTCCTCAGGGTTGATGCAATCAGAAGGTTTGCTATAAACTGCTCTTTTTACGTAGCCCCATAAAAAATCAAAGGGAGTCAAATCTGGTAATCGCGGAGGCCAGTTTTGACGGTTTCTTTCAAACATGCCGCAAAAATAAAAGAAAAGAAATCGCTTTAAACTACTCATCCAATTGAAGTTTCTTGTTATGTGTTTGGAAAGGTTTTCCTAATCCTGCTTGTTCAAGAATTCCGAATTATGCAATTTTAGTGCAATGGAAACGGTTTAGAAAAGGATCGCCCCTATCACCTTTTTTCAGTAATTTATTTATGGAAAATTGGAATCATTGGAAAAAATTACAAATTTAAACCAATAATTCAGTGACGTTATATTGATGGTGTATTCTCCATTTACAGTCATGGCGAACAAAAGCTTGATGAATTTTATCTTATCTGAACAGTAAAGAACCAACAATTAAATTCATTATTGAAAGAGAACAAAACCACAAACCTCATTTTCTCGATATACTATTTCTAAAAGTCATGCGATAATGAG